TGTGGTGTGTCAAGGGTGTGAAAGCTTTGGATGGACCGCATTTCATCTACTAGATGGAGATGTGACAAATGCAACACACCCTGGCCACGTCAGGAGTGGGGAGGTCAGCTGCACAAGACTCCCAAGAAGAGGAACAGGCCGCAGAAAGACCGGACGGTTATCTTGGACAAGCGCTGCGCTGTTTCCCGTTGATGAGGAAACCTGATTGGACCATCTACCACAAGGTGATGAAGAAGCTCAAGGGGACTGAACGGGCTGCGGTGGATGCTTGGACTTAAGGGTCCCTTCAAACCCGGATCAGCGTCCAGGCACATGAGAATGCAATGTTATGGGCGAGAGGCCTCATTGAGCACCCCTACTAGCAGCCAGTTGAAGGTCCAGACTCTTTTTTTGAGGTCACTGGGATCTTTGCTCGAGGGTGGCCTGTGCGTCTCACTCCATCTCATCGATTTGCCATTGGAGCGCATGCCACATGTCAAGATGGACGCATCAAAAAGTACGCGGTTGCTTTGACGGCGCGCTGCTGGCAGGAAGGCTCGTGGCAGATCATTGGCACCTGCACGGCCCTTGCGCCAGGCCATGCCACTGAGGCCAGAGCTTGGTTCTTTGGATGCTGGCTGCTGCTTCAAGCAGTACTTGGCAAGCACCAAGTGAACATACCCAACAGGGCTGGCACAACCTTCCAGAGGATGAATGGCTTCGTCTTCAAGTTTTACATGTGCCCCAAAAGAGACTGAAGGAGCAAGGGGATGATGCCAAAGCTTGGCTCCAGTTCTCGGAGGCCAAACTGTGCGCAAAGGCCAGGGTGGTCAGAGAGGCACCCACTGCTCTGGAAGCTGAGCTGAAAGAGGACGACCTCACGCATCAGGCTATCTATGAAATGGCTCCAGCCAGGATCAGTGCCATTCTCAGTGATCCGGAGCACTACATGAATGGCAAGATGGACAAAGCCCACAACGCACCCCTGCCAAAGGGCACTCCAAAGGGCAACATGTTTGGCAGCTTCATCGCCAAGGTGTTCGATGTGAGGTATGCGTCAAGTAGCAAGCAGGATTCAGTATGCCCGGGCACCATCACCAAGACCTTGATGCAGCTCATGCGGGAGATGGTTGATGACACTGCAGCGCAGCCTGACAACCAGGCAGGGCATCGGTGGTTCCTGAAAGATAGCAGCTTTGGATGTAGCAGGCGGTGGGCCAAAATCCCCAGGCGCAGTGGCAAGAGTGTCTTGGAAAACCTGCGCGACACTGCATGCCACTGTGGCAAGGTGCTTGAATCTGAGTTGAACCCTCGCACTCGGATCCATCCCAGCCATGAGTTGTGGCAGAGGGGAGAATGGTTGGAATGCCAGAAATGCCGCAAGACCTCGGCAGAATGAAGGAAGGGTGCAAAGCTGGCTTGGCAATGCATGTGCTGTGAGCAGAGGTCAAGCGACCCTTCGATTTGCCCCGACCAGCTCTGACAGCTAAGGGGCGATGAACATGGTAGCTAGATGCCACCCAGGCCTGGCCGCTTTTGCCTGTTGGCGCGGCTTGAGAAGGCAGACGCAAAAGAGCCGAGAAAAAAAAAGAAGAAAAGGAAGAAGAGAAGAGAAAAGGGAAAGGAAAAAGGGAAGATGGGGACATAGACAAACCCTTGCTCGGCAAGGTAGAACAACATCAGTAGTAGGTCAGAGGCCGTCGTATCTAGAATGGAGGCGATCGCATCAAGGTGGGAGGCCATCGCAACTAGTTGCCAACTAGTTGGAGGCCAGCGCTAGTAGTTGGTTGTTGGCATGCGTAAGGATTCAAACGACAGACGGCGACAAGGCTGGCGGTCGTTGGAGGCCAACGAAACAAGGTTGGAGGCAAGATGCATTGGAGGGTCACTAGTACGTTGGAGGCCAGTGCTACAAGCTTACAAAACACAAAGTCAAACCCAAAACACAAGTGCATTAGCTCTTTGCGGAAAAGTAGGGTCACGGCCTGAATCACCACAGCCAGTCAGGTACATAGGCATGATCAGTCCCTGCTTCCCACTCTCATCCACAGCTTCATTGCACGTAGCAGGATGGAGTGCCATTTTACAGACCAAAAGGCCGCCTGTGACTCCAAGGGTTCCACACACCCACGGCTCCCAAAGGGAGGCATGCATCCTGCCCCAAAGGAGGCACCCATCCTGCCCGGAAAGGGGTTATGCGAGGCACATGTGCGCGCAAAAGGGGACAAATGAACGATGAGCGAGACAAGGCAGACGAAAGAGTGTACGGAGCTGCCCAATGAAAGGAGAGCAAAGGGACAGCCAATGAACCATACCTCATTAAAATATATCAAACCTGGGGCACCTGAACCTAGTTTGGTGAAAAAGCACGCGCGTATGTGTACAAGCTAAGGTCCGGGCAGAAGTGCGCGCAAGAGAAGAAAAGGGTGAGGACGACAGGACATGAACACAGAAAGGACATGAAAGAAAAGAAGGAAACAGTGTGTGCGGGGGCCAACGAAGAGGGAACCAAATGAAAGGGGAGGCCGAACCTCATGAAGACATCTGTTGCAAACGCCTGGTTTGTTTGTAAAACACGCCGCGCGCAAGAGAACGACGGGAAGGGAAAGAAGAAAGGCCGGGAAAAGGAAAAAAGAAACAGGATGAGACGAGAGAGGTTCCCCGCTATGACGGAAGCATCCAGGGACACCCGAGCAGGAAAGAAAGAGGAGAAAATCAGTAGGTTTGAGGCCATCGTATCTAGAATGGAGGCGATCGCCTCAAGGTTGGAGGCCCTCGTTGCCAGGTTGGAGGCCATCGCAGTGCGCAACAAGATGCACAAGGTCAAAAAATTGGGACACCACAGCCAGGCAGGTACACAGGCATGATCAGCCCCTGCTTCCCACGCTCATCCACAGCTTCATTGCGCGTAGTAGGGTGAGAGTGCCACACGCCCCTGCCACATTAAAGGCCGAAAGGACGCCTGTAACTCCAAGGGTTCCACACACACACATGCTTTCCTTCCCCCAACAGCTTGCCATCCAATGGCGCAGGGACCATATGTCCTGACTCCACGAGACGTTGCGAGCAAGGCACGCTTGCGTGCTATTTCACATGAATGGGACACTTCTCCTTCCAGTCTAGAATTGTAAGGGCTCCGCCAACCCTTTTTTTAGGTGCAAAGCACTTGAAGCTCTGATCGATCTGCAGCTAACCAGCCAAAATGCCCAACGTTGCCTGGCACGTTGCTTTCGGGAGCCCATAAAACTAGTTGCCTGGCACGTGCCAGAAGCTCACTCCCAAGGCTCCCGGCAATCTTGATGGCCACGGAGCGGCTTGCTGCCCTGTAGACGGCCCAAAACGGGCTGGCGTCGCAGCGCAGGGGTTGGGGGCCAGCAAACGACACCATTTGTTTCCACACCAAAAAGGGGCGCGTCGCAGCCAGCCAAAGTGCCGCCTGGTACGTTACAGACGGCAGCATGGCCACTCCCAGACAAGGCCGTAGGAGCAGCGCGGCTATAGGCCTGGGTGCAGGTGCGTGGGAACCCACATCATGGCCACAGACCGGCCTCCTCCCCTGTAGATTGCCCAAAACGGGCTGGCGTCGCAGCGCAGGGTTTGGTGTCTTGGTAGTAGCAGCCCAGGTGATGGCCACAGACCTGTCCTGCTACGCTGACAAAAGGGGCTGGAGGTGCTAGACCGCAAGGTCATTGGCCAGTGCAAGTCCGCATAGTAGCACAGGTCCTTGGCCATGGCTTCCCCGCCTAGGCATCGGCTAGGCCAGGGTCGGCGGATTTTCCAAAAGGTTCCCCCAATGCCAGGATTGTTCGGAATTTTCGACGCGAAAGCAAACAGACCCCAGCCACCAAAACAGACGAGGCGAGCGCAGGTCCAACCCCCAGACCCCCAGACTGCAAACGAGAACCCTTCGCTACGCATTCAGGAAGCGCAATATTCCATTTTTTGTGGGATGGCAGCAGGGAGTCTCAGAATAATACTGTATTCATTGTCTGTGTTGTTTTTTGAGTTTTTCGTTTTATGTTTTGTTTGACAATTGAAAATTTTTCCGTTGGAATTGCTTGGGGCTTTGGTTTTGCCAACGGGGGGTAGCTACAGGTGATGATAGGCGATGCCACACGCGCGTTGTCTGAGGCATTTTGCACCTTTTTGCCGTGGACCGTGGACAACAGATTCCAGCCAGGAAAATATTCATTGTACTATTCGTGTTTAGGTTTGGTACAAAGACATGTAAAACATACTGCAATGTTCCATCTCTTTGTGCATGCCCCAGGGGTAATTTACACTTGTAGGACATAAAACGATAAGGGTAGAAGTGGGGGGGTCAATGTCCAGTCTTTTGGCAACATGGGACTTGTGATGGAGTCGGCTGCATCACCTCGCTGCGGCCAACTATAAAACAACTACCGCGTTGTTTTTCAAGCATGGTTGTCACCGCATTTTGCCGTGACAGGGGTTACTTTCATGCACTTTGCAAGTATTGCTGAACGGCTAAGCTGTAGAGTTCTATGTGCATGCTGATTTATAGGTATTCGGCATGCATATGTAAATATACAATAATATACATATATGAGAAATAGATAGATCGGTTCTAAACCAGGTTTGCAACTGTTATGTAATATACATATCCAAGTTTGGTGGGGATCGATCCAACTACTATGTTGCCAGGGAATCGTGACAAAACACGTTCGTTCAAAAAGTGTTCCCCAGCCCTCCGCCTGACGTGCACGTGTGCATCCAGGTTCACACCAGACCACCATACTCGAGCAAGAGTCAGATCACGAAATATCACGAACTATCCCACGTCAGCCAATCACCGAACATTCTTGCAACATGCACCGCCCCATTTTGCAACCAGTCACGATTGCTTTATACTCACGGCTGCAGTTTCCACCGCCCACCGCTGTCAGAATATACGTGATGGACAGCCGGTATTTACACCAGTGGCACCGCACATTTCCAATTCAGGGCCTGGCCTGCCATGCTACAGGATGCACTGAATCGGCTTGTCCCACACTGCACAGATGATCCAAAGAGGAACGTATCAGGTGGTGCCCATGAAGGGCAAAGGCCTTGGGGCCATAGCTACTACATTCATCAAGCAAGGCTCCGTCATTGTTGACAGTGATCCTGGGCTTCTTAGAGTGCCACGCTTGCAGGAGAGTTCAAGAATAAGAACCTTGTAGTTACAGTTCTGAGCCAGCAGCTCCAGTGATCTGATCTTTGGTGGCGCCAAAACTCATTTGAGTTTGTGACGTTTTTGTGAGGTGATGATACGAGAAATGCAGGTATTCGATCAGCAGCACTTAGACCTTGATAGAAGAAGTGAATGCTACTTTGGCCGCTTGTCTTTGAGGGTTTTGGTTTTCGGTGCGTCCCCATCGAGTAGGCGTCAGCAATGTCTACAAATATTCTTCAAACCTCACCTTCCTTATTGGCACGGTTTGTTCCATGGTTGCTCAAGCGGAGCTGAGATTTACGGGCTACATACTTTCAACCGATGCTTGAAGAACAGCTTCTCCTTCTACCACAAGGCCTGCAAGAAGCCATAATGGGATTGCACGATCGAGCAGGAGAAGCAACCTCTCCAATAATCAGCAGATTAAGTTTGCACATATTGGGTGGTTTCAGGCAACTGTTGTTTTCTGCTCGTTGCAAGTCAAAAATTGTCAATTTTGCTCTACATTTTGTGCTGTGCATGAGTTCCATGCCGCAAAGGCATCCAAGTCGGTGGCTGGCATATTTTTTACCAATGCCATTGCGACGGAGGGTGATGATTTTGTTCTTTGCCACATGGTGGGGCGCTTCAATAGCAGTTGCCAGCAGAATGCAGTGTACGAATGGTGTGACAGAGAAGCCTCAGCTTCGGTACGTGCTGTTTGGGACATTGCTAAGGGCGAGGAGATTTGCATTTTCTACGGAAGCACTGGGGACCTTCTGAAGCCGCGTCGCGAGAGACAAGAGTTCCTGCGCTATTGGGGGTTTACATGTGCTTGCTCCTCATGTATGGATCCTCTATCGGATGAACGCCGAGCCAGGAAACGCTTCATTCTTGATGATTCAATATGTTTCACACATCGAAGACTTGTGCGATCACAGAATTACTCAACTCATGATCACATGCAAACTGCTCACAGCAATTGCGTGCAATTGGATTTGGAGTGACATGGATTTATCGATGCGATGGTCAGGTGTCTTTTTTGCCACGCCATTAAGTTTCGCTCATTCGCGGCGTCTCCCATCGTTTGCCTTTGTGCTCTTCGCGTGTTTCTCCTGAGCGAACTGTAAGTTCCTGTGAAGCTTTCCTTTGTGCCATACTTTCAACGGTGCCTTCCTGACTGTAAAGTGATGCAAAGTGTAATTTGCAATTGTTTGATATTGTTTGTTTTGTTTGCAGCCATCATCAGCCATCCATACTGACAGTATTTGAAGGTTCTTAGTTTTGTAGTTGCCTTGCATGCGCATCGATTCCGTATTTCGCAAGTCAGCGCACAATATACGGAAGCATGTTGTGGGCACAAAGATGGCAGTCATCCACTGAAGGAAACGTACTTTAGGGTCGGTTGTGCAATTCTTTTGATGTTGGTTGTTTATGGAGTTGCCTCCCGTAATGCGATTGACAGCAAGCAACTTTCCCGAAGCAGCGTGAATGAAATTAGACCTGCGGAATTAAAGCCCTCGAACACTCAAAGTTCGGATTTCAGTTTTGGATCAGCATGTCCTGCAGCTGATAGGATTCTTGAGATCAAACGTGCGTTTGAAGACGAGAATGTCATTAAGATTCCTATCATACAGCGGTATGAACTGGCCAAGGAGCAGCTGCGGCTTTATCAGAAGGAGCTTAGTTGAAGCTAGGAACAGCTGAGTGGAACTGTTCGAACATGTTGTCACGAAAGGTAGCCCTTTAGGGGATACCTTGAGTTTGTCTTGCGAAGCAAGTGTTGGGACGTCCGGGTCTAATAATTGATCGCTCAATTCAGACCCCCCCCCCCCCGCCCCCTTGGAATTGATTTTTCAATACAGACCCCCCCCCCGTGTTTAGTAGGGTCCTAGGTCTGTCTACGCTATACGTGTGTAGCACCTGTTCTTGTACATATATCTATTCGTAGCTCTTCAGTCCGCTTTCGACATAATTCATTTGGCTCAAGACTCAGCAGCCCAATACTGCATTCACTGCCATAGAAAAGGTGTGCTTCGCCGCAGCTCACACACCGACCGCTTGTGTTTGACTGCTTGGTGTTTCGATCAGGTCCAGCTATTCCAACTGCCACTTCTGGGGGAACTTACCCCTCAAAGTGGTAGCGGAGCTTGTGTCTCCTGCTTCGCATTGGTCGATTTTGCCTTCGTGCCGAATCGTCCGATATTCCGGACAGGGGACAACCAAGTCAGTCACTTGTCAAACAAATAGACCATGGTCCAGATCTTTAACATAGATACGGACGAAGAGCATGACAGCGACCTATCTGACGTAACAGATCCAGAAGAAGCTTTTGCAGCTCAAGGTTCGCGTCATCGCCAACAGCATGGAAGGTCCTCGAGTTCGACATACCGGACGTACGAGGCACAACCATCAGCAGGTGTCAAGATGACGCCAAAGATTCCTCCGTCATTCGATGGACAGTCATCCTGGTTCGAGTTTGAAGATTTGATTGATGACTGGGTGAACATCACCACATTAAGCGCCGAAAAATTAGGCCCATCATTGAAGAACGCTCTGACCGGAAACGCCGAATACTACAAGAAAATGCTCGACAATGAACAGCTTCGTCATGAAAGAAACGGTATTACGTATTTCAAGGAGACGTTGCGCCCATACTTTGTCAAGGGAGCAAATCATGTTTTTCTTTGGCGTTTCATGCAGCTCTTCAGGACCTGGCGCGGAAACGGGGAATTTGTAAGCTGGATCGCTCGTTTTGAAGTCGCTAGCAAGAAAGTCATGGAAGCCTTCATGGGCTTATTAGATCTTTCGAGAACGCAGAAAGAATCCGTTCTGAACACATTGATGCTTTGAAACAAGCACATCGTGACACCTTTCCATTGTCTGACAACCTGATGTCACTTATTTTCTTAGTTCAGTCGGATCTTAACGAACAGCAAAGAGAAAGGTTTGTAGCCAGCATGGCCTTGCGTCAGATCAACATGAACAACTACACATACTTAGGTGTCAAAGGCTTATTCCTTGATCTCTTTTGCGGAACCGCCACAGGAACTGCCGATCCTTCGATCCGCAGGCAAAGAAGATCCACTTTCCTTGTCCTCGATGAAGGAGACTTGGAAGAAGAATCCGGATACTGGGTGATGGATCAAGAAACAGGCGAAGAAGGATTTGTGAGTTTGTTTTCAGAGTCCGAATTTTGGGTGTTAGCAGCCAAAGGAGGATACACCCGTAGAAGAATCCATGGTAGAAGATTCAGAAAACCATCCAAAGGCGGCAAAGGAAAAGGCCGCGGAAAAGGCAGAAGACCCGGCTTTGTCAGCCGTAGAGGCAAAGGTGCAGGGGCACATTATGCAGAGTACCCTGACAACTCAGGTTTCTATGGAAAAGGCAAGAAAGGAAAGAAAGGTGGAAAGAAAGGATTCAAGGGAAAAGATGCATTCAAAGGCAAAGGAAAAAGCAAGCAACAGAATCCCTTGCAACAATCCAATGTTGCAACCACCGAAGAGCCTTCAACAGCTCAACCATCCACTAATGCCGAAGAAACCTGGAGTGCACATGAAGCAAATTGGTCATGGGACTCATACGGATACCACACAGACCAGTACTATCCTGAAGATGTCTGGCAGGCAAATGAAGCCACTTGGCAACAATGGACATACTTTGCGGACGGACAGACGGACAGACCGCAAGATGAAGAGCACCAGAGCTCAGATCGAGAGCCTGACCAGATGAACCAGTCAGCAGATTTCCGGTATTACGGAACACATGCAGAAGAGATGACTGGTGTAGAACATGTTTCACAGCCGTATCACCTAAACCCTGCCGGTAGCAGTACAGACTACCGACATTCCGGTTGTTCTGAAGTGATTGATCCACGCTTCTGTTCTTCTTTTGTCAACTTTGACGATGGATTTCACCATGCCTTGCTTTCTGAATACATCGACTTGAGGTACAGCCCGACCTACGTGATCATTGACAGCGGCTGTACCAGAGCAATGGGTTCAAGGACCGCCATCATGCGTCTAGTGAAGGCATGTAAGAGACACTACAATGCATCTAAGATTGATTTCTCTTTTGAGCCTTCATCAAGTCGATTCTCATTTGCAAACGGTGAACAGTCCAATGTCCGAGAGAAGCTGGTAATCTACTTTCAGAACGACCAGTCACCCACAGGGTGGATCACAACAGCGATAGATATCTTAGACCAAGGCGACGTTCCAATCCTTTTCAGCGTTGAGCAGCTCAGGAACCTTCGCATGTCTATTGAGCATACTCCAGTCGGTGACTATCTGACTTGTCCTTTGTTCGGCCTGAAGCGATTTTCGCTGCCAGTGAGCACTTCGAACCATAATGTCCTAGACATCATGATGTTTGCCAGCTCAGTTCGTAAGCCGAACCATAGTTTTACTGCAATCAATCCTTCGTATGGAGCCTGTCCTGCCTGCAGCGGAAAGCACCGCAAGCACACATACAAAGATGGATGCAAGAAGGCAGAGACGTCCGAAGTGAAGGAAGACAAGTCAGCAGCCGATATTCCGGCTAAGAAGACAGATAAGCACATTGCAAGTGGAGATGCCAAAGTCGATCCGCCATCGAAGCTCATTTCGATGCCTCCACCGGCTAAGAAGGTGACACCTCCGACATACCGGAAGACCGAGAAGTCACCTGATTTTGGTACGCCATTTGAGCATTCGAAGATTCCAAGTTCAAGCTCAGGAGCCGAGAAGCCTGACGTACCTCCAGCAGAACCTGACATGCCGGTGAAGCCTGATCCTCACTCAGGAAGAATCCAAGGAAGACGTGAAACCAATACCAACAACAGTGCATCGAGAGAAGAAGGCTCCTAAGGTTTCAGTAACATTGCCGCTAGCATTGCAGAGAATCCATGAAAAGCTATCTCATCCAACTGAACTCTTGAAACTGCATTTGAAGCACTACCACATGTCCACTGAGCAGTTCAAGAAACGCACATCAGCTTTGAAGATTCCTGCTAAGATCTATGAAGAGTATGAAAAGGTAGTCAAGCAGTGTGACACATGTCAGAAGTCTAAGATTGCACCTTCAAGATCAAGAATTTCAGGTATGAGAAGTGAAACGTTTGGAGAACTCACCTTTGTTGATCATGGTGAACTTGCTATCAACGACAAGTCCAAACTTCTTTTCCTGATCATCTATGACGGTGCTACTTCTATGACCACTGCTTACGTATGTAACGGCAAGACTGAAGCAGAAACGATTGGCTATCTTTTGGAGTATTTTGAGACATACCAGTTGAATCCTAAGTATCTTGTCGGTGATCAAGGCTTCATGGGTACTGAACTTGAGGCTTTTTACAACAGAAAGAATATCCGACCGATCACTTTAGGACCTGGTACTCCATGGCCAAATAGAGCAGAAGCAGCTGTTCGCATGTACAAAAAGCAGATCACCCTGATGCTTAAGGCCGTAACTGAGGACCCATCCAGATACGAGATCACGTACCGTCAGCTCCTCAGACAAGCATCACTTGCCAGGAACTCCATGGTTACTTTTGGTGGAGTATCTCCATTGGAGATGGCATTTGGACGGCGACCTGCAGATCTTTTGTACCCTGAGAACATGACACCAGAGCAGCTCACAGCTTCACTTCCTTCTCCCGAGAAAAATATAGATGCCCTCAGAACACTTGCCATGAAGTCTTATCTAGAAGCAAAACAATCTGACGATTTAAGAAGAGACATTTCTGCAAGACTTCAATTGAGTGATGGTCCATTTTACCCTGGTGATAAGATATACTATTGGACCGAAGATAAATCCAAGGTAAAGTCTGATGGAACCCACAGTGGTAAATGGATCAAGGGCAAGGTCATTAGTTCTGACGGCAGTATGGTTGGTATCGATTTAGGCACCAGAATCCTAAAGGTCAACATCAGCAAGGTCCGTAAGGACATCAATCCGATCGAAGATGTTGAGGTGCCACTCGACCCGGTTGCACTACTGAGTTCTGAGAGTGCACGGACCGATATTCCGGTCACTGACCACGCAAGCTCTCTAGTCCAGAGCGACGGAGCCCAGATCGGTGTGGAAGGCTTCACATATTCCTCTTATGCATGGCAACCCGTCATGACTGGCAAGATTGATTTCTTAGAACTGTTCGCAGGTTCAGCACGGTTAAGCCAAGTCGCTGCAATGAATGGTTTGCGTGTTGGACAACCTATTGACCTGAGAACCGGATTTGACATCTTGACCAGCGACGGACGTAAGAGAACGATGGACATCGTCGAGAAACAGAAGCCTAGAGTCATCTTTATGGCCCCGCACTGTGCTCCTTGGAGTCAGATGACCAATACGAGATCAGCGCAGGCAGAAGTTTCTTCCAATGTTGGAGTTTTGTTGTCGTGTTGCCATATTTCAGATTGAACACGGAGGCCATTTCATCATTGAGAATCCTGCCTCATCAGCTCTTTGGTACACCAGATGTTTCCAACGTCTTTTGTCACAACGTGGTGTTACCTATGGCACTCTTGATATGTGTTCATTTGGAATGAAAGACCCTAACGGCTATTACTACAACAAGCCAACTTCTCTTTTACACAATTTTGATGAAGGAGTTCTAGCGCCTGTGTTCAAGAGATGTAGTAATAAGCTCGGGGGTGAACAACACCAACATCAACCATTGGAAGGCTCAGCACCTGGCTTT